TCTCTCTCTCTCTCTCTCTCTACCACTACTGTCACTCACACTCTCTCTCTCTCTCTCTCTCTCTCTACCACTACTGTCACTCACACAGTTGTCCACGTGCGGGTACGCGCGGCAGCGAGCCCCGATTAATAACTTCTCTCATTCACTTGCACCCCCCTGCCCCCTATCACCGTCACCATTAGCCGGTGCCCCCTACAGTCGTCATTCCAAGCGCCCCCTACCACCTACTACCGCCGCCGTTAGCCGGCGCCCCCTACCACCTACTACCGCCGCCGTTAGCCGGCGCCCCCTACAATCGTCGCCGCTAGCGCTAGCGCACACCTTGATCGCCTCGGCGGACGGCCGCTGGTCGACGTTGGCGACGGCGTCGGTGAAGGCGAGCTTGACGATCTGCGGCGACTTGCGCGTTGGCTCCTTCAGCGAGACGGACAGGTTCTTGAGGTGGAACTTCAGCTGCATGGCGACAAACTCCTGCGGCAGCGTCGTGTCAACCTGCAACACGCAAAAAACGCAGGGGGCGCTGTAAGTCGCGACGTCTCTCCTGTAACACGCAGGGGGCGCTGTAGTCGCGACCTCTCTCGCGCGGCGCCTTAGTCGCTGAGACACAGGGGGCGCTGTAGTCGCTAAAACACAGGGGGCGCTGTAGTCGCTAAAACACAGGGGGCGCTGTAGTCGCTAAAACACAGGGGGCGCCTTAGTCGCTGAGACACAGGGGGCGCTGTAGTCGCGATCTCTCTCGCGTCGCAGTCGACCGACCTAAGCACTGCAGTCGCCGCGAATTGCAGCCAGTTGCTTCCGGTCGAGTCGGCTCGCAAGCCCGACATAAGCCCCCCTTTAGACTCGCGTCGGACACATGCGCGTCGAAATCTTCCGAGAATCGTTGCGAGAACAAACATCATTATCGCCACGCAGCAGCAATGAGAAACGCTCACTGCTCCAGACCTGCCAACCTGTGATTCATGAAAATAGTAAGGCTTTTCTTTTCTTGCAGCAGGCGGCCATTTTGTTTGTATGTTATGCGTGCAATGAATGATAGGACTAACTCTAGATCACGCGAGAACAACGTGAACGCGTGATCCAATATGGCTGCGCCCACAATCGCCAGATATTTCTCGGCTCACAATGTAAAAAACACATTTATTTTAAACAAGTCGTACAAAATCGTAAGTTTTTCAGTTTGATCGTACATTCGTAAAAACATCTTGAAATTAGTAAGGAACACGAAAAAATCATAAGGGTTGGCAGGTCTGCTACTCTCGTCCGTACCTGGTTCTCGCTGTAGCCGATGGCGTCGAACAACTTGGCTTTCTCTTCGGGCGTCATAGCCTCGCCAAACTTCTCAGCAATCTCCTCCGTCGTTCCTTTAGCGGCCTTCTCTTCCTTCTTACCGCCACCCCACCAGCCGGACAGCCAACCTCCTGTTTCATACGAAACATAATGAAACCTGTGTTTATCATGCATACACAAGAACGCTAACATAACGACCAACACTCCAGATATGTAAGGAAGCAGATACCTGTTTCACTTATTTTATTTACCATGCAGTCACATGCCCTTTAATATGGTTAGCGGGGAGCATACGCCTTCCTGGTGCTGTATTAAATCAGCATCATAAATGTTTACAGTAATGCCCTTTAGTTGTTAATTAATATTATTATTTATTATACTCATTAATTATTTAGGAAACCTGACATTGTCCCCTATCATTACCACTAGTAGACCCAATTACGCCATAGGGAAACCGAACTTAGTATAAAGGGTCCCCTTGCATGCCTACTGCGAAATATGCTAGCACACACCAGCACTAAGTGACCGTAACTGCACTCTCCGATAGGTGCTTCTCATATCAGTGGGTCGGGGGGGAAGGTGGAAAAGTCGCTTGGGCAGAGGGGAACCGTCTTTGGCGGAAGGAGAAGCCCCGGATAGCATACCTTTATTCTCAAAATATGCTAGCACACACCAGCACTAAGTGATCGTAACTGCACTCTCCGATAGGTGCCTCTCATATCAGTGGGTCAGGGGAGAAGGTGGAAAAGTCGCTTGGGCAGAGAGGAACCGTCTTGGCAGAAGGAGAAGCCCCGGATAGCGTACCTTTATTCTCGTTCTTGGCTTCCTCGCGTGTCACCTCGGTGCGGGCCTGCTGCCGTGCCAGCGTGATGTTAAGTACATCCAAACTCTTCTCACAGCCATCCAACTCTGTCTGCAGCTAAAAAAATGGCAAGAATTCCAACTAAGCCTAGACATTCTAACCAAACTCAGCGGCCCAAAGTGAGAATTACTGTTAACTATAAGCCAGCATCACGGTCGTATGAAAAGATGTAAAAGGTAGAAAAAAAACTGTAAGACAATGTATATAAAGTGCGCTACACGCGTCTAATACGCACGTTCTAACGCGAATCGAAACACGAAAATGTGTACAAAATACCTCCCTACCTCTTTCGAGACTTTCTTTGCGAGTAGTTTCTTCTTGTACGCAGCCTGATACGCCTTCACCCTTTTACGATGATCGGCGATGTGCATCCACGACTTCTGCCGCAGCCGTCGCCTCACGTCCTCCATGATGCTGTTCATGGCAAAGTGCCAATACTTCTTCGCATTGCCCTTGATGGGCACTCCAGCGCCGGGGTGGAACTTCTGATAAAGGGCGCTGCGACCCATTCGTTCCAGACCTTCGAGAAACTCCATGACGTCGAGGTACTGGTTCCTGTGTGAACATAAACACCGATTTAGACATCGATGGACGAAAGAACGTGATAACAAAAAATGTTTCGTAAAAGTGCCAGAAACGTCAACACTTAAAATAATAATAGCAACAAATATAACAATAACTAATATAATAACTAACAACAAACAACAGGTATCTCCCAAGGAATTTTAGAAGGAATTTTATTTATGGATGAATGGGATCCCGGGGAGCCCACTGAGGGGGTTGCACAAATTGGAGTCAATTACGCATGTGATAAAGTACCCAAAAACACAGGCAAATTCAATCAGATCAGAGATGTATACATCAAGCTGTGAAAACACAGCATGACCGTGTAATGATTCTCAAAAGCAAACACGGCAGGAAAGCAAGCAATATCAATTACTCAACTAGGCATGTCGTAGGATTTACAGAATGTTACGAATTAGTTTCAGCGTTAAAGGCATGTTGCACTCAACATGCATTAAAGCCCTGGGGAGAACAGTCTTCTTCTTCTTCTTCTCAGGTCATTGCACTACACTCGACCTAACCACTGCAGCACACAGGACCTGGCACGGTGGTTGAAAACCTCAAGGCCTCCAGGTCTACAGGGCTCTGGTAATACCACACTACACTACACTCGACCTAACCACTGCAGCACACAGGACCTGGCACGGTGGTTGAAAACCTCAAGGTCTCCAAGTCTACAGGGCTCTGGTAATAGGGGGCATTCCAGGAGATGTCCCATGGTGTGGTCCTCCCCGCAGGGAGAACAGTGAATAACTGACTATACCAACAACTACAATGACCTAGCCTAGGTGTACTAAAAATATTGTTTGTTTGCCCTCACCCGACTGACCTGCCAAAAA